GAAAGCTTGGAATATGTAAAAGATTCTAAATTGAAGTGAAATCTGTGTTCCTTGCATTTATTTATACCAGTTGATCATTTAGAAATACAAACAGAATTGAATAATCCCTTTTTACAAGAAAGTCCTGAAATTTTTGAAGCTTTCTATGAAGTCAAACCAAGTGCCATCTTCCTCTTCCCACTTCCTCACATCTCTTTCTGAAGCCAAAAATACTTTTATTTTTCTACTGTTTGTGACACACAATTTGAAGTTCTATCATTGACAAAAAAAAAAATCCAATATTCCTATATCCTTCCTCATTGTCACAATTAAGACATAGTATTTCAAGGGTCATTCATTCATTCATTCAAGAAAATATTTACTGAGTAGCCACTAACTCAGGTCACTGTGATCTATACTGAGGATAAAGCAGTGAACACAATGGATTAACATACTTAACCTCATGGAATTTACATTTAAGTGGGGAAGACAGAAAATATGTGAGATAAGTAATATAAAGTAACTTATCAATAAGTGTTGGGGGGAGAAAAATAAAGCAGGACAGAGATACAAGATGTAGGTGGGGAAAATCGTGTTTCAGTCATTGGCTTAGGTGACTGGGGGTGTCCTCACTGAGAAGGTAAATGTGTTAGTCTGGGTTCTTCAGAAAAACAGAGCAAAAGGGTAGAAGGATCTATCTATCTATCTATCTATCTATCTATCTATCTATCTATCTATCTATCTATCTATCTATCTATCTATCTATCTATCTATCTATCTATCTATGTGCCTACCTACTTACCTGTCACCTATCAATCGACAGATTTACGTAAGGAATTGACTCACGTAGTTATGGTGGCTGAGAAGTCCCATGACCTGTAGTTGGCAAGTTGGAGACCCAGGTGTAAACTGTAAAGCCCCAAGTTTAAGTCCAAAGGCAGGAGAAGACCAATGTCCTGGCTCAAAGACTATCAGGCAAAGAGAACAAATTCTCCCTGACTGAGCCTTTCCTTTTATTGAGGCCTCTAATGGATAAGATGAGGCCCATCTCACACTGGGGAAGGCCATCTGCTTTACTTAGTTTGTCCATTCAAATGTTAAGCTCATGCTGAAACATTCTCACAGACACACACAGAATAATGTTCAATGAAATATCTGCTTTTTCCTCCTTCCATGGTCCAGTCAAGTTGATGCATAAAATTAACCATCCCAGTAAAATTTAAGTAGAGATTTAAGGAAATAAAGAAATGAATTAAATGAGTGACCTGGGGATAGAGAAGCCCAGACAGAGGAAAGAGAAAGTTAAAAGGCTGGTATATTCAAAAGAGAGCAAGGACACCAGTGTGGCTGGAAAGGAGAAGTAGAAGATGAAGTCGAAGTCACATGGAGTCAGCTGTTACCCTGAGAGCGATGGGGGAGGGAGGCTGTTGGAACATTTGGAGCAGAGAATGATCAGATATTATTTTTAGCAAAGACACTCTGATTGCTGATAGTGATTAAACAAAAAGCAAAGAATTGGGAGGACCAGTTAAAAGACTGTTGCAATAATCCAGGCAAGACAGTGGTAGGGTACGGATCTGGATGGGTAGGGGCTGGCAGTGGACGTGGTGAGAAACAGCTGAGTTCTGGATATTGTTTGAAGTTAGAACTGACAAGGTTTGTTAATGGGTCAGAAGTGGGTGTGAAAGAAAAAGTGGTATCAAGGGTAATTCTAAGCTTTTTAGTCTGAGGTGCCATTTACTGAGATGAGAATGAATGGACGAGGAGGCAGTTAATGATAATCAGGAGTTCAGCTTTACATCTGACTCTCCAAGTGTTGGTCTGAGTTAAGATAAACATATAGATGTGATTGAAATTGACAAGCTTGGATGGTATCTCCTAGGGTAAGAGGATGTTGGAGAAAAGGTCAAGGGAGAGCCCGGAACCCCTCTGGGTGGAGGACCCACAGAGAATTGCAGAGCAAGCCTCCCATCCTCTCATGCATCTCCTTGTTCTAAGATCTTATTAAGTCCTTCTGGCAGCACCACCCTACTGCGGGTTTGTAGTGTGCTCTCTGTTTCTGACTTTCCCGCACCCACATTCTGAGTCTTTCTCTTGTGTGTCAGTGCTAAATTGCACCCACTTCCTCCCCAGCACTCCATGAGTTGTGTCCATCCTTCAGGTAGATGGACTAACTCCCAAAATTTGGTTTGAATGCTGAGACTGATGATGCTACACACATACCAGGAGGATATACAAATGTTTATTTCACAATTGAGGTTTCTTAGGCGATCAGGGCAAGCCTCTCAAGCAGGTGTGAAATGGCTTGAGAAAGCAAGGAAAGTAGACTGACTCCTCACTTTTATTTTGGTTAGAGGTTGCGGCTGGGTGGGGATTCCCACGCACAGAGAAGGGACTTGCATGGTTTGAATTTCTTGTCAGAACCAGAGAAAGGAGCATGCAGGCTTTCTTATAAGCTTGTCCAGATGAGGGGCAGAAGAGGAAGAGGGTGTGAGGAGGATTAAAATGTGTCAGCAGTAAAACATCAAAAAATGGAATCACATTCTTTGTTATAGTTTATTTTTAGGCCACTGATATTCTGGACTTGAATTCAAAATCATTCTCTTACCTTTATTGAACTCAATTTTGTTAAAATCAGTCCATTATTCCAAGCTACCAAAATCCTTTTAGATCTTGATTCTGTGGAGTAGTGTTTTTGCAATATTTATCTTTGGAATATGCAAGCCATTTATCATTGGAAAATGCAGTGGTTATAGCTTAGGACAAAGTGTTGGGGCATCCAACTCAACCATTTCTTCCAGTTTGGCATAAACCATTAACAACTAACTATTCTTCAATGTAGCCAATGGCTAATTCATCAAATTAAACAAAAATCCAAACCTTATTATTCCAGATGGTCTCAGAAATTCTGATCAAATCTTGAACAATGTGAACCCTCTCATGTAAACCCAGATGATCTACCAGATTATTAGTGATGATCTATCAAAATAAAAATGATCTCAAAATAGGAAATGTGATTATATTTGCTTTTTGATCAGCCATTCAGAATACTGCCAGGAAACAACCACAAGTTCACCTCTTTGTAGGTTTTGGAATTCACTATTCAGCTTTTTTATCTAACTTCTGGTCCTGTAACACTGCTGTTAATACCCAAGGATCTCAACTGCAAATTATTTTCATAATGTGGTTTGTAATTCTTCATTGTCAGGTCTGGAGATATGAATTTGTTTAGAACAGATGGATACTGCCCAATGAAGTCTTTGCCCTTATTGGGCTCCATTTTTTTCCCCAAAAGCATTCAGTCTGAGTCTCAGAGGTTGAAAAACATATCATCATTATATCATTAGCTCAGTCTTGGCCCTCCCTTGCTCCAAAAAAAATCATGAATTACTTTGGTATTTTGATTTTTTCCCCAAATCTAGCTCATTTGGGATCTGAATCTCTCTAACTTGAGTCTTACTGGGCTTACTACTTTCATAGTCAGTGTTCATTTGTTCATTCATTCATTCACTTGACAATACTTTTTTGACTCTTTGCTATGTTCTTGGCACTGCATTACCATGATGATTAATAAGATAGATATGGATACTTTTCCATTGTATTTTTTTCATTTTAAAATATCTTCATATACATTTTTAAAAGTTCTCTTTCCACTTTCCTTCTCATTTTATTATTTGCAATTGCACTCAAAATTGCATTTTTGAGAACATAACACATTTGAGTCATAATCTCTTTAGGAGACTCATGCCATGAATAATGCATATCTTTTCTCTAAACATTTTGAAAATATTCACATAGTCTAGAGTGTCCAATGCATGATGTCCTGTCTTCTTTTCCTTGGAAAAGTTAAATTTGAGATAACACAGCCACTTTCCTTCAAGGTTCACATAACTTTCACTTCACCAATAAATTTTTCTTGTCAGAACTAGATCCAAAGTGGTCATTGCTTCTGGCTGTCTCCTTGCTTCTTTAGTCATTAAATTGATATTCAAGCACCTGTTACATGGTTGGGTTTTTAGCCAAATAAAATGTTTAGCATATTCATGGGTGGCTGAAATATTTTTTTTACTGCTGATAAGGACAGAAATCCCATCTGTTTTGTTCACTCCTAATTCCTACACCATGAGTGCTCCAGAGCAGCCACCATTATCTTTACTACTAACTCAGTGCCTTCCCTACAGTGCATTTCTGTCTTCAGGAAATGGAGAATTCTATGCAGATGTCAACCTTCTTGACCTTTAGCACTACTCCACTTCTCTTTGAAATCTGTTTTTTTTTTAATAGGTGAAGTCCTTCGATTATCATGTTCTAATTTAGAGGCTGAATATGTGACATCTTAGAGATTCTTTCTTTAATATTTTCATTCATTCAACTAATATTTATTGAGCACTTATTTAAGAGTAATAATAACAATAACTAAGTTATTGAGCATTAACTGTATGCCAGGCACCTTTTAAAGCGCTTCACATGAATTATTAATTTGATCTTTATGATCCAAATGAGACAGAGATATTAAAATTTTCTAAGGTCACATGGATTTTAAGAGAAGAAGCATGACAGTATTCTGAGTACTGGTGATTTAGCAATGGACAAAACAGAGAATGTTCCTTTTTTGTAGGGCATTTACATTCCAGGGAGGAAAGCAAATGGTAAATAAGTAAACATGATACTTCCAGATAATAGATATTACAAAGACAAGTAAACATGGGAATGTCATGAAGAGTGACAGGGAAAGGGTAATAACTTGAATAAGATAGTCCAAGAAGCCTCTCTGGAGATCAGCCAGTAGACTTCTAGCTGCAAGTAACAAAAAACTGAACACAAAATAGTTTAAACAACAGAGGAATTTGTTATCTTATATAAAAAGATGTCTAAAGATAGAAGGGTTCTAGGGTTAGTTAACAAGAAGGTAATGGATGTAGGAGAACATCAGTTCTTACCTGCCCATCTCAGCATGTGGGCTAGCTGCCTCCCTACTTGCAACATGGCTGCTTCACTTCTAGTATTCCATTCTCACTCACCTGAAGCAAAATCCTTAGATAAATAGAGATAGCTTTTCCCTTAGATCTCTTTTTTTATCAGCAAGAAACTCTCTGTTTCCAGCAGACTTTGCATTTCATCTTTTTTGGCCAACTGTGTTACCTGCAAGAGAAATGAAATTATGACTGGCCTAGGGTCTAAGCCTTAGACAAATAAAGATTCACTCCTGGTAATGGGTTTGAGTCCCTTTTGTTAAGTATAAGAATGATCAGAGGAGGCTGAAAAAATGAAAAATTAGGGAGAAGAGAGGGGATTGGATGAGTCCTATCCAAAAATAAGCCGAGTCCAGAATAATAAAGAGGAGTCAATTATGTGAAGACCTGAGGTTCAAATAACAAACCTACCTTCCATTTATTATTTACCTGGCTTTGCACAAATTACCTAACCTCTCGGTGTTTCAGTTTTCACATCTTTAAAGTGGGTGCAAAATAATGCACAAATTGTGGAATTAGTGAAAAACAAAAAAGAAGACATAAACACAATAGGGCCTGGAATATGTAGGTGCTCAATAAATGTTAACTATCATTATTATATCATTGGTTCAGCATCCAGATCAGGTAGGGTTCTTGTAGGTCACAGTAAAATATTTTGATTTTATTCAAATTAAATTGTGAAGTCATTGAAATGTTTTATGCACAGAGTGAGATAATATCATTTGAATTTTTAAGAGTCATTTTTTCAGCCATATATAGATTGGAGTATGACGCAAAGGAAAAGTAGGTTCAGTGGGTTTGGTGTAGTTAGTAGGTCTTTGCAGTAATTTTGATCAAGTAATTTGACTAGCGTAAAAGCAATGGGAGTGGGTAGAGCTAACAGAACTTGCTGACAGCTTATATTTGAGTTTGTGGTTAAAGGAAATAGGGATTTTGAATATTTGACTAGGAAGACTGTGGGGATATGGTGATGCTTTTTGTTGAGATAGAGAAGGGGCCTGTAGGATTCACAAAACTGCCAAAGTGATGTATGCAACAAAAAGGTTAAGAACCCTGCTTTAAAATTCTTTGCCTGTGAATCTCTTCTTCCACATTTCTTAAGAGAGTGTAACTTTTATCTTCTCTATTTTTTTGAGAGCTCACTTTCCCTCAATTTACATATTTGATCTGATAATAAAACAATTTGTGAAGATGATCTTTGTCAAACTGGTTTACCACAGAGCAGAAGTGAGAACATAATGAATGTAATACTCACTTGTTGAGTATGTCCCAAGCCTTTCAAGGCCCAGCTGTTCAAGATTTAGTAGGTGAATCTCATGAAAAGTGATTTGTAGTTTTCATTTTTATTTCCCTCTATCCTTCCCTTCCAGCTATTAGAGCCTATTATTTCCTGTGAAAAATTAATTTCTTTTGTTCTCAGAGTCAAGTGGAAGTGTGGACAGATTAGCCATTTCAGCCTATCCCTACTGCATACCATTGACATAGTCCACATGGCCCTCAGTGGTGGGTAGACACGAGCCCCACTCCCACATGCCCCTAGTCCTTAACAGCGTCCTGTGAGGATATAATCTACGTAGGCATCCAGCTTTGCACATTACATGGATTTTTCTTACATGCCTTATTGAAGAACAACAGGATTTAAAAAGGAACATCATCAAGTTCTTGCAAATGACACAAGCCTTGTTGCATTTTAATGATAACAATGACAATAAAACCAGAACTTTTGAAATATAATTACTTATTGGCAAGGACCACTTTGTGTTTGTTTGGAGCAGCAAGTACTATAGCTTGGAGGAAATACATAGGTAGTTTTTTGACATATCTGAAGATGATATAATGGATGTGTCACTAGCATTGGGCACTTACCTTATTTTTCCAGTACTGTTGATGAAATGAATAACTTGTCCCTTTCCATTTTTCTTCCTTATGGTGAAAATGACTATCAGCCAGACATTTTTGATTACAGAGTACAGAAATCCAATTTGAACTAGTTTCAGCAGAAAAATCTAGGCTTAAAAGTCAGAAGAAGAGTTAAACTTCTACAAGGCAAGGAGCAGTTCCAGGAATCTCTGGGACTGACCTTTGAACCCTGCCAGGACTCCTTTGCTTTCCATCTCTCGTCTTTTGTTTTGTTTTTCCTTAGCAGAGCGCTCTCCTTTGCTGACAGCTTTAAGGCTGTATCTTTCCAGCTTTAGCATCAGAAAGGAAAGCATTCTACCTCTCAGTTCCACACAGAAAAGTCCTAAAGACCAGTGGTCAGGTAAGGTCAGAGGCCCAACCACAGTCAAACCGCTGTGACGAGGAAGTCAAAGTTATGGAGTAAGACAGTGGCCCAGACCATGAATCCAGAGCAGTTGAAGAGGCAGCTCCCCAAAAGAATAGGGCGGTGCTACTCTCCAAGGGAAAGAAGGCTAGTACACAAAAAGGAAACGAAACAAAATAAAACAATCAAAAAAAGAAAAAAAGCCAAGCAGCAAGTGTTCACTGAAAGATTCCATTTGCAAGATAGGCTGGTGAGAATTAGAAGTTAACTCAGCAACTAGGGAATAGAGATTTACTGGTTCAGGAGAGGTACATACCTCTTCTTTGTTTTCAGTCCCAGACTGTTAAACTCATTGGGTGATTTTCTTAACAAACTTAGATACCTAATTCAAGATCAGCACTTTCCCAGCAATCAAATCCCATTGAGTTGTTTTGCTTTCTTTAAGTCCTTGTTTTAATTTAGAGAAATCTATTTTTTTCTTTGTCTATTGTGCTTAAGGGACTCTCCTTTTGAAGAGGCCATTTAGTATACAACCTATCTGAACTGCTTTCCATAATCAGTAGTTTCTTTGTATGCTAATAACCAGAATTATTTGGAATAAATAACAGACATATCTGGGAGGGGTTTTATTTATAGCTAACGTAATCCTCATTTTATAAAATGAAATTCAGAAAAGGGAAGTGATTTGCCCAAGCTCATCTCTCAAAGCCAGTATTAAAATCCCAGGACCACCTGACTGTCCTAGTTTTGTGTTATTTCTACTTCATCAGGCTTAGTGCAGAAAAAATGAGAACAGATCCAACAATAACAAATGCAAAGATCATGTTGGATCATCCCAGTTCTGAAGAGCCCTTGCTGCCACTGGGACTTAGAATATAGAGCTGGTGGGAGAAGTAAGGGGCAGAGGGCAGGGGCCTTGGGCGGAGACTGCTCACCTCCCTTGCACAGGCAGGACCCTTGGTGTTGGGAACCTAGTGGGCTGCATAAAAGAGCTCTCAGAGGAGGTGGGTTCCTCTCTCTCCTTTCAACCCAGGTCCAGTCCAATTCTACTTACCAGGTGCCTCCCTGAGCAGCCCCTCTTGTGCTTTGCCATGGCTGTGGCAGCAGTTCCTGTCCCTTGCATTCTCCCTGCTTCCAAACGGCCTCCTCCCAAGTCTTCATCACCATAGTGATCTGTCTAAAATGCAAATTGGGTCGCATCATGCTCCAGCTTAAAATAGTGCAGTGTCTACCCCTTCCTTCAACCACACAGCATCAAGTTCCTTTCCTTCACCCTGACTTTCCTCTCTGCCTCTTCAATCACAATTCCTGCTAAGCCTGGTCCCTGATTCATTAATATTTTGAACTGACTTAATAACTAGAACTCCTAGAGGCCAGCCAGGTCTGTGGAGTTTTATTCATCTTTCTGTAGCTAGCAGTGTACAAATACTTTTTGAACTGAATCTCTTTTGGCTCTAGACTAGGTCTAAAAACTAGAAAACAAATCCACTTGGCTACTAAGTCCATGTTTTATAGACACAGCTGCAACTGTAAGTCATTGTCCTTCCGTTTTACTTCCTTAGTCTTCTGAAACTAGATTCATTGCTACTGTAATATTGTAAGCAACTGATTGAGCAAATAGAATTTGAATTTTGCAATCTGATTTTCAGCTTGAGAGAATACCTTGGTTCTTAATGCAAGGCTAAATCCTAACTACATCTAGGCAAATAATTTTCTTACTGGTTTTTGATGCACTGTGGGTATCTAAGTTTTTTGCCTTTTAGATCTCTTCTTAGGTGTTTGTGTTCCAATTTCAATTTTGAAAGAGAGTCAATGAAAACATAAAGAACAACTGCTACTACAGGGCAGAGAAACAAACTACTGTTGGTGGACATATGTGTTTATTAGGATTACCTGGGTAGGAGTTCACTGACTCCAATGTCTGGGGATCACCTTAAAGGTGGAAAGTTCTCTGCCTTCCTCTGTTGTCAGAAAGTTAATGTTGAAACTACCCTTTGCATTGGAAGAGTGAAGATTATTTTGAGATCGTTAGTGAATATGTTTCTTGATATATGTGTAACATCAGAGAAACTTTTGCACATCTTTACTCTCTCAGAATAGTATCTGTTAAGATTCCTCTGAGTGGCTGTATGCAGGTAAGTTAAGGAATTTAGAAGAAGATGGGTCTAATTTAGTGGTGTTAATTCAGCTTGAGGAAGGCTGAATTGAGAGAAATTCAGCAATAGTCCAAATGGTGGTGTCCTCAAGGAGAACATTTTTGGCTTTGATCCAAGTATAGAATGGGGATTAACTTGGCAGATGGAGGAAGAGTTTTGACTGTGGATATATCTAGGTATCAACGTGAAAATGTCAGGTATTAGTTTTCCTGCAGCGAGACTGATTCTGGGTCCTGCCTTCTCTGTATTAAAAGCATTGGTCTGGATGGTTTCTGGAACTGGGTGAGACGGGGTCGTCATTGTCAAGCATCAGTGGCTGAACGGGTAGGAGGCAGAGACTGAGGTCCTCATTTCCAATTCATTGGCCTTCCTTCTGTCCCCATTCCCCGGACTGTGTCTGGCACATAGGGACACATTGTAAAAATTTGTTGCCTCAATCATAACTTACCATTTTCATCGTATATGTAGTTTGGAAAACAGGTAAAGCTTGCTTTATTGAAATGATTTCTGAGAAATTCTTAAAGACGTTTCCCCTCCTTCCTAAAGCCTGCCTACCAATGGCTCCTTCGACTTAATATCTCCTGGTTTAAGCATCTCCAAGATCAAGTCCTTGTCCTCTGACTCTCTACATGCCTTCTTCTCCGACAGCTCCCAAAACATCAAGGCTGGTAGGGCCCATCCCTAAATGCTCTGCATTGGCACACCAATGTCTCAACCTGTCTGGTGTAATTTTCATCTGGCTCCCCTTTCCCTGGCCCATTCTTTGTAATTCTGGCTCCATTTCTGTTGAACCCCATGGTTCTTTTCAAACATCCAGGCTTAAGAAGCTGGGACTCATTTTTCTACTCAATGGGTACTTACATTTCCCCGTATCTGCTCAGTTACCATACTGTCCTCCTTTCGTCAGCCTCTCATTATTTTCCTTCCTTTTTACTTTTCTGCACTCAGCCATCCCAAACATTCTATGCCTCATTATTATAGCCTTTATAGATCATTACAGCCTCTTAGAAGTTGGCCTGTTTGCAGTCTTTGTCACTTGCAAATAATCTGGCATTTATTTTGATGAAGACTACTCTTCCCTAAACAGATTTTCTCAAGTAACCAGTTTGCTGATTTAAGTCCCGCTATTGGGCAAAATGCTTTTCAATTCAGTGACCCCATTGTTCCTGCAAACATGTAAAGCTCAGTCCTTTTTCCATGACTTGGTTTGTGATAAATCTCTTGAATGGAAACTCTTATCTTTGCTCTCTGCCACCTGTCAGGGGTCAATTCAAGTATCTCTTACTATTTTCATGAAATGTTATGTGACTGTTCCGCTCTCCACTGATGACATCTTAAGCTAACTGCAACCTTTTGAGGCTCTGCTGTTCTGGATAGTTTAACTCTTGTTTTACCTGCAATAATATGTTGTAAGTCATTAATATTAGAGATCTGGCCTTGCAAGTCATTGGTAGTATCCTTGGTACAGGCCTAAGTATCTACAGTATTCTGTGAGCTTAATAAATATGCCTTCTGATTTAAAAATGCTGTTGGTATGTCTGTTTTATTTTTTATTTTATTTCTGATTACCAAACACTAGATATTTAAAATCTTAAAAAGATACCCACTGTTATGGCTGCTGTTTTGTAGCCCTTGTTGTCTGGGATACTTTGGGTCAGCTTTCCCAAAAGATAAAATGGCTAACAAGAAGGGATTCCCTCTATGCTTTAATAAATTATCCTGCAAGCATGCCAAGCTAATGTTAATAATGATTTCTATAAAGAAAAATTAGTAAAGATGATTCAATATCAAGAATTTTTATAGCCATCACTTAATCTTATAATTCTCTGCCTGAAAATAAGTGAACTCTACATATTGCTCTCATATCCAGAATTTCAATGTTCATGCTTGGTCCCTTAGCAGTAGTAGTAGCCGTAGAAAGTAAGAAATAATAACAGTAGATGTAATAACATCACTAGAAGTAATGTAACATCTACCATTTGTGTATGTTTCATATACCAGGCACTGTACCAAGTATGATATATTCATTATTTCATTTATCTTTATAAAAATGTGTGGGATATTATTGGTTGCCATCACAAGATCAGTAAACTTGCTTAAAGAGGCTAATAACTTATTTAAAGACTACAGTTAGTAATCTGTAGGTCTGGAAACCAAACTCAAATCTGTCTAATTTCAAAACTGGATTTTTGTAATATTATTTAACATAGTGAAATCAATGGAAAAAAGCTTAAAAAAACTATAGACTTTTATATACATTTGTTGGGGCTTTCTTATATGCTGTGTCTTCATGATTAATTAATCCTGCATTTTCTGAAGATACTAATGCATGGTTTACACAATCCTAGAGAGTACTGAGCAATTCAGAATGCAGTACAGTAAAATCATCTCTTAAACTCCATTATCTCTTTCTCAGGCATTTAGGCTTGAGTTCTTGAGATATTTATATTCATGTAAACCAAATGTGTAATATCCTGGAATTCATGTTAATCTTGAGTTTTCCAATTTTGAATGATAAGTCCATGCAGAGAAATTATGTGAAAGGCTTGGGCATT